CACACACACACACACACACACACACACAGGGACATGCACACACACAGGGACATACACACACACACACACATGCACATACACACACACACCCCGGCGCGTAGTAGTGTAGATTTCAATGTTCGAGCGAAAGATTCATTCCGCACACACACGCACACACGGACGTACACACACACGGACGTACACACACACACGCACACACACAGACACACACACACGCACGCACACACACACACACACACACACACACACACACATACACACCGGCGCGTAGTTATAGCGGGAGATCTCCGTCCATCTCTCTCTCTATCTCACACACACACACACACACACAAAAAAAAAAAAGAAAAAAAAGTGGTGGTGTATATTTCCATGACCCCGGCGCGGCGCGGCGTATATTTCGACGTTCGAGCGAAAGATTCATTCGATCTTGCTCATCCGATCAATCGAACTATCTTGAGGCCAGCTGCGCGAAAGATTCATTCGATTTTGCTCACCGGATCAATCGAAGTATGATGAGGCCCTGTCTCTTATACACATCTAGATGTGTATAAGAGACAGGTGTGTGTGTGCATGCCCACAGTTCCGTGTGTGTGTGTGTGTGCATGCTTGCGTGTGTGCGTGTGTGTGTGTGTGTGTGTGTGTGTGTGTCTGTATGTGTGTGTGTGTGTGTTTGTGTGTGTGCGTGTGTGGGCACCCACACACACACACACACACACAAAGGGAAAAAAAAACACATGGGACACATTTCATCGTTTTTTTTTGGTTTTTTTCTTTATTTTTATGCATGTTCATTTTTTTAATTATATTTAAAGGGAAAAAAAAAAACCATGGGATTGTAGATCTTGAAACGATCTTCAACCCTTAATTTTTTAAAATTTTGTTTCTGACTTTTTCCTGGTGAAAAAAATCCTTGTGAAAAGGGAAAAAAAAAAGTTTTCATTTTTTTTTTTTTTTTTTCCTGTTTCTCTTTTTGTTTTTTTTTTAAATATGTTTAGACACATGCAAAAAATAAAATATATACAGTATAACCCTATATTTTTTATGTTCTTTTTGTTGATTCTTTGCCGATGAAAAAAATATCCGCAGGTGGTGTTTTTTTTTTTTTTTTTTTTTTTTTTTTTAATTGGACATGCTCGAATTCTTTTCGTGGGCAGCAACACATGCTGGGAACCGGGCCCAGCATCCCATTCAAAAAAATATTGAGAAAATTATGCAAAAAACTTTGAGATACCAGGGTCATTATCCGACTTCGGCTAAAGATGATAGCTATGCAATCTACACAAAAAGTCGGGTTCTCTAAGGTTTGATCATAGTACGAATATTCAGACCGAAAACCACCTGCCTTTAAGGACTGTAAGCAGCTCAACCCTATCTGCCTCTCCCCTATACCCCGATACCCAGTCTCTACTAGGCCTCCCCCCCCACAATGTTAGGTTAAAGAGTACCACGACCCGCCCTAGAAACCCCCCACCTGCTAGGCTACACGGCGAAGCACGCTCGGGCTATAGGGTAGCGCGACCGAGCCCCAGCACCGACCAACGTCGTTCTAACCTCGTCCATTTGCAAACCACTGGGACCAAGGACATCAACAGATACCAGAGAAGCCACCAATCGTCTCCATAGTTG